GTGGCAGTAGATACAGTGAGTTCACCACTTGTTTAGATGAGGTAGAAATCCAGAAAACTGCCAGATCAAAAGCAGGGTGTTTGTCCCACATTCTTGAGGTCAGAACTGACCCTAAGAAACATTATTCAGAGCCCCCTTCCTTACACAGGGATTCCATCTCCAACCCTTCAGTTACTCAAGGTAAAACTTTAGTTACTCAAGCGAAAATATTAAATGAAAAACTCCAGAAATAAACAAAATATTTGTAAGTTTTAAATTGCATGCTGTTCCAAATAGTGTGATGAAATCTCACACTCTCCAGCTCCATCCTACTGGGAAGTTAATCATCCCTTTGTCCAGCATATCCACGCCTTATATGCTACCCTCTACTTAAGTATTTAGTAATTGTCTTGGAAGGCTATATGGATGATGCTTGGTACCTGGGTTGCACATGAAAAAAAAAAACCTATTTTCCAATTGAGGTTGACATTGGGCTAAATATAGAGAGGAATGGACTGCAGGAAGTGGTGAACTTCTGGGAACTTCTCATAAGGGGTATACAGGAATCTCTAAGGGGCATCAGAGAAAAACAGACAGGAAAGAGAAGGAGGAGAAGGAGAGAAAAGATGTGTGACAAAGGCTGATTGATTAATATTTGATTGATTGATTAACTGATTCTAGAAAAGTGACTCAGAGAGGTGCAGGCAGAATACAAAAGAACTTGAACAGATGTCTGTCACTTCCCAGCTCAATGACCCTTGGCACATGACTTCACCTCTCCCAGCCTCAATCCCACCACCTAGAATCTGGGATAGTCATAAAGGTATCAGAGTGTGAGCTTTGTGCTGCGTGCTGACACCACGTCCTGTGTGCCCACGAAGGAATGAGCTGTGGCCCCTACAGCTGTCTGTCCTCCCAGCGAGTTCACTTCATCTTCTCCCATGACCTCACAAAATTCCCAGGAAGGGGAAGGGAAAAAGGAAGAAAGAACCTTGACTGGGAAAACTTGTTGTAACCTGTCCTTTTTTTTTAACAGAAAAGGAAGAGTGGAGACCAACATCAAAGACTGTCACCAGTCTGAATTCCCACGTTCTGTCTTTATGTCAATACAGGCCATCTGACACTTATGGAAATCACATTTGCACTGGCTTTAAAACAACTGTTTGGGAAATTGATTCTCCATGAAACCCTACTTGAGTTTTAAGTTTAAAACTTACAGATGGGAAAAGCTTGTCTTCCGTGAGGACACCTGGTTCTCCCTTGGGGAAAACATATGTCACTGCCATGAAGCCATCAGCTAGTGTTGGGGGAAAGCACGGAGCCCCAGAATGACACCTTGAACTCAATGATACGTGCCTGTCTCCAAACACAATGGTCTCCCTCTCCTTTTGTGGCACTTAGTGCCTGTTTTCTCACCTGTTTATAAATACATCTTTTGTTGTAAACGTCCTTAAGTCACCCATAGAAAGATGTCTGCCATAGAAACAAAACCAGCAGGGACACAGTGGGACACAGTAGACTTGGAGTCTGAGTGTCAGGAATGAACCCTGAGCATCTTAGACATCCACAGAAACAGGGGAAACCTGTATTGCAGAGCAGGAATTCTCCAGTGGGGGAGAAAGAGGCCTCTTCTGAGGGCATTTGTGCATGTGACCCACATAGCAGCAGAAGAAAACCAGTGAGCCCCTTCCTGGAGGAAGAATGGATTCTTCATGAAGCAAACTCCAACAACAAGCACCGGTACAAAAGGATGGGCACCACAACCTCTTCACATTAACAGTACATCTCTCTATTCCATATGTGAATTGTAATTTCACTGGAAGATTTGATACAAAGAGACGTCTACTGAGCCTTGGCGTTTTACAGCACGTTACAAGTTTCAAAGATCTTCCAATGCATCCTCTCCTCTGAATCTCACAAACATCTCATTGTCTCCATTGACAGAAGAGGAGACAGGATCAATGAAGTCACAAGGTGTCTGCATAGTAATCCACAACATCTGCAGGTATGGAGGGCAGTTGCCCAAGGCTGTGGCCCTCGGGGTACTGAGTGGTCCTTAGCCTCCCAGGAGTAGAAGAACAAGCAAGAGCAGGCCCTGCTGCAGTGGGAGCAGCAACAATCCCCCAAGTGAGGTGGGCCCCTTGCCTCTCTGACACCATGTGTACCTGACACAGCCATCCATCCCTCCCAGGGTCCAGACCCCACCTAACACCGCCGTTCACCTACGCTCAGATGAATTGTCCAGGTTTCTCCCACTGTGGCCTCAGCATCCCGCCTCAGGGTCCTTCCTTACCTGGTGCCCTGCTCCAAACCCACTGAAAAGGAGATGCACAGTTGCCCAGAACCACTGCTCTCCGGGTTCCTCATGGAAGCCCAAACTCTAGGAAACACCACAGCCTTCAGGAAATGGAGGAATGGAGTCTCCAACTTAGCCCCCTGAATTTTTTTCTCTGAGAAAAATGGCATAAGGAATCCTGTGGTGAGGCCAGCTGAGGAGCTTTTATTTCAGTACCCCTCAGCTTTCTCAGAGGCGAGTACTGAGCACCATTTACAGAACGCTGACCAGCCATGGGCAGGGCCTGGCAACTGGGCTCCAGGGAACACTTTGTGAGCATAGCCCAGGTTCCCCAGGTTCCCCATGGCCAGTGTCCCCAGATCCCTTGGCTGTTCCTGCTTGGGAACAGTCTGTGTCTGTGTTTTGTGTGTTTCGTGGGAGAGGGAGGTTACATTCTAGGGAAGAAGCTATGCTCCTGGGAGGAAGAGGTCAGAATCAGAGGGTGATGGTGTGCATGGGAGGATTCTATCTGGGTTACTGGGATAGATTGTATGGATAGGATAGTGCTAGGGAGAATTCTGATTGTAGCCAGAA